TTTCTCTGTCAGCCTGTCTACTGTCAGACCCTCCCTGTAAAACATAACACACAGTAAGATTTCTCTGTCAGCCTGTCTACTGTCAGACCCTCCCTGTAAAACATAACACACAGTAATATTTCTCTGTCAGCCTGTCTACTGTCAGACCCTCCCTGTAATACATAACACACAGTAAGATTTCTGTCAGCCTGTCTACTGTCAGACCCTCCCTGTAATACATAACACACAGTAAGATTTCTCTGCCATCCTGCCATTAGTTACTTTAATTACAGTTTAATTTTCAAGAAAGGTGGATTTGTTTTTAGTTGAGAATCCTACAAAGTCATGACATTTGAAATTCTGGTAATGTTTCCCCACTTACCCAAGGCCTGTCATGACGGTGACGGCTGGAGTTAGGGTGGCTGATAGGGAATCGAGCAGAGCGGATCTATAGTAGTTGTCTGAGTACTGAAATATACAGATATTACAAACATCCTTAAAACAAACAATCTTACTTTATTATGACGTATACGACTGAACAGAAACAAGACAGTGAAGTGTTTTTCCCTGAATTAACAATTATTCACACTTTGTGTTGATGGATTAGCTGCAAACAATTCATTGCAGATTCAAGACTAAAGACAAAGAATATTGGATTAAAAGGTTGGAGCATCCTTGCTCAGCGAATTACACACCGAAACTAAATGAAGAGCCTACACGTACATGTAAAAAAAGTGGTAGCTATATGTAAATATGTTCAGGTCACTTTCTTAAGCCAGTTTCAACCAATCAACTTTAATATCAAACATACGTCTACAAAGCCAACGAGGCTATTTTAGGTAACATGTTTTGTTACCTGTTACACACGTTTGCATTCTATTCACCAGTCTACACCGAACTGATCAGCTGATAATGTAGACATGTCACATGAAAATCACATGACAGAATAAGCGCTGTAAAATTAACAGACATGATGGACCAACCTGTTTTACATGAATTTTACAATGCCCGAATATTAATTTCCTGACCAAAAAACAGGAAAATGACACTACGTAAAAGCCATGCAAAGTCCATCTAGGTTAAATTAAAATAGACTGATACATAAGCCTGTCCAGATTGACTTATAACACGCTGACATAATTTGTTTTTGCTATTATCGTGGTATTTGAAAAGTTCTAGAATGATACATAAGCCTGTCCAGATTGACTTATAAAACACTGACATAATTTGATTTTGCTATTATCGTTGTATTTGAAAAGTTCTAGACTGATACATAAGCCTGTCCAGATTGACTTATAAAACACTGACATACTTTGTTTTTGCTATTATTGTTGTATTTGAAAAGTTCTAGAATGATACATAAGCCTGTCCAGATTGACTTATAACACACTGACATACTTTGTTTTTGCTATTATCGTTGTATTTGAAAAGTTCTAGAATGAAGCGGAGGACATCCTGAGGACAGATGGCTTGGATACTCCTGAGGTGGGCCATGGCAAATGGGATGGTCTGCAACACGAAATGAACAAACAATATAACCCGTATCAACACATGCAGGATTGTTACAGCAATGAGATCCAGATAAAACTGCTTTGTGAAAGGTAAAAAAACAAACAAATCAGTTCATAATTCAAAATTTCAAAATTCAATTAATTCAACCAGATATTTTGTGTCTCTTTTTTGTGTGGGTCTGTTTTAATTTTTAAGTTTAAAAGTTTTTACAGTTACAAATTAAACAAAAGATTAAATTGTACCTTTAGAAGATAGTAATGCTGCAGTTTGGTAAAGTTGTTTTGCCGAACGATGTTCGGACAGGAATGTGAGCCAAACAGCTTACGGAAGATGGTGATCATTGCTGGTGGTCCAACCCAGTTATTTACCATGGAGTTGGCTACCTGAAAAAAATATGGGTGTACTTTATGATAGCAATGCTGACAACCTTGGTGGTTGGTTCTTATCAATAGGTGAAGTGTACAGACACCCCCCACCCCCATATCAGCCCCAGGGGCTGGACATGTGAGGTCTGATGAAAGTAGAAGGGTCATATGTGGCATATGTGGTAGGACATTGAAATGGTGTTGCTGTATATACCAGGACATTTTTGCCCCAGTTTAACCTTTGACTTTTTATTTGTTTGGGCCTTACCTTGGACAGGCAGAGACAGGCTTCCATGCGTATTCGGTAGAAACAGTGCTCGTTCTCTAGTGTATCTGTCAAGGCCTTTCTAGTAGCAGCAGTTGGGTAATTCTCTAATGCTATAATAGCCTGGTGAATAAAACACACATTAACATCAGTAACGGTTATGTAATATCAATTAGTTAACTATGTAGTTGGTATATACAAAATACAATATTCACATTGCTATCACAAGTTTGTTCTGAATTAAAGAAATTAGGTGTAAACGTTAAAAGTGTTTTCTCCTGCCGTAAAACGGAAGATAAATACAGCCGAGTTGTATTTGGACCAGTAATAATACTGGAAAAATGCCGTCATTATTTACTTTACTGAGACATATTATACAGGTAAAATAGATGCAAACATCAGCTTTACTTTCTAAGGACACCTTTTAAGGGAAGAAGAGATGTCATTCTTTGTGTTACTTTCCGGAAACGCATTCTAAGTGTAGAAGAGACATTTTCCTTAGCTTTACTTTCTAGAGACATTCTCCAAGTGTAGTAGAGGCATGCTCCATAGTTTTACTTTCTAGACAAATATTTAGGGTAGAACAGATGCCATCATTTAAGCTTTACTTTCTAGAGACAATAACAGCAACACAGCACCTTACCTCTTTCTGAGCGACCACATCTCTCTCAAACTTGAGCTGGTACTGCCACATATAGTCTGGCTGCTCCCAGGTGACTTGACTGAGCAGTTGCATGTCTGGGTCTATTCTCAACCACAAGACGGGAGAGTCCGCACTAGAAAACAGTGACAACCATAACTGTTTACCGAGATCGGTTGCATCATCCGTTTCAAATCACTTAGCATTTGTATTTATTATTAAACCACATATGACTTTTACTGGTGAAAGGTACTTCTAGTTACAAAATGAAAAAAAAAATTAAACAAGCAAAACATTAGCATAAACTTTTCTTTAACTGTTTCTACTTTTAAGCACAGGGATGAAGTATGACAGACCTGTAAATGCTTCAGAAAATACAAGACCACTAGGTCTGTCCCTATTTCACAAACAAACCTGGTCCAATTTATTAGAATGCGGTGCATGAAAGTGGTTGAGGCGAGGAAGTTCGATATAACTAAGCAAATGAGAACAAAGTGAACTATTCAGGGTAGACATACTTACTCCATGGCACTCAAGTCCATATCTACCTCTTCTGATGTCATCAACGGGATCTTCTTCTTTTTGTTCCTGAAATCCGATTCAGTCAGATTTCATGTAAAGAATAACAGTTAAAACACTAAAGGCAACATCATAAAATATACGAGTCATTTTTTTTTGTGCTCAGATATTTTGGTTTTCTGGTTTTTGTTAGATGCATAATCAACATATTAACCCATTCACCCCTAAAATCACATTTGAACCTTACCAAATCAAATATTGGGCAAGTCCAGTTTAAATATTTAGGGGCGAATGAGGAAATAGGAGACACTACAGTGTATTATAACAATTTATTACATCATCTACCTAAATTACAGATGTTAAAAAAGTTAAGTATTCAGGGTAGACATACTTACTCCATGGCACTCACTTACGGCATTAATGTATTTTATTCAGTTTGTAATTGTATATAATGCTGATTTCCATAAATGTTGACATATGGGTGCAATTTAACCATTAATGCTGTATATGTAATGTACTTTGTAATTATGGTTCTTGATACATTTCATAAACTTCCAAAAACACAACCTCCCCCACCCCCACCATCACAACTTTGTAATTATGGTTCTTGATACATTTCATAAACTTCCATAAACACCCTCCCCCACCCCCACCATCACAGTACCCGTACATGTACTGTCACTCCGGCATAATCTACCAAAATCACAATTCAGTAACATGCATAAATCAAACACCTTGAATCCCATATATACCTTTGTAAGTTGTAAGTTGGGTCCATGGAAGTTATTTCACAGCAGTCTAACTCTGATCAAAGTGATACCCCGTCTATCTACCTTATCCTGGTTCTACTGCCTTTGGTATAATGAGGTTCATCTGTATAATATTTATCATTAACCCTTTCACCACTGTAGACCATAATGGACTTATCCAGATCAATGTATGGTAGAGTCTTCGAAAGCTACGTAAGGGTGAAAGGGTTAAGAAACACTCTACCAGTTCAATCTTTTTATAAGCAGAGCAATCTAATTCAGTACACAGGTGCTGGTTGTGTATACAACGGTAGTTATATCGCTAGTGTGTGTCCAGCAACTTCTGTGCTTTAGAACACAAATACCTTCTGCTCTTTGAATGACACGTGATGTCAAACTTGGTCTTGTTCTCTTCAATCTTAAAGTTATGGTTGAAGGATCCGTCCAGTTCCTGTATGGTCACAGTCAGAGGGCCCTGGTAATACCAGAAGTATTAAATAAAAAATCACAATGATATCCTTACAATGCCAACTACAACAGATGATATAAGCATTATTCATTAATAGTTAACATTATCACACACTTCAGTGAACCCTTGGCAATAAGGTCCTGTAATACCTATAATTATAAGAAATTACCACAAATTTCAATAACTCCTATGCCCCAAAGTTTTTGCATATCTGGTTTAACCTGAAGTAAAAATCAATACCGGCTAGGCTCAGATATCAACCCAAGGAATATTTGGCACGTGCAAAGCAAAGGGTCCAGACCTGCCTCACCAAAACTAAAATGCTGACTATATTAAGAGTCTGAAATATTTCTTAATAAAACAAAGTTGATTTACATGACTAATTGTAAGTTTTAGGATATGTTATCTAGTTAAGTGGATGTGTGAAAGAAGGACATATTATTCTTGATATGTAGTTATTTATTCTCCGAAACTGTTCACTTTAAGCTCTGCTTATAGTTCGGTCCAAGTTGTAGACATTTTATAGACATTACCACATATTTCAGTGACTCTTTAGAACTAAAACATTACCACATATTTTAGAGACTCTTTAGAACTAAGTCTAAGGTCCTGTTTAAGTACTAAACATTTTATAGACATTACCACTCAGTGACCCCTTGGCCCCCAGATCCTGTTTAAGTACTAGATATTCTATAGACATTACCACATATTTCAGTGACCTAGACATTCTATAGACATTACCACATATTTCAGTGACCCCTTGGCCCCCAGATCCTGTTTCAGTTCCAGTTCCACAACGTTCCTCTTTCTGTTGAAGACAGAATTACCGAAGAATCTGGCACATCCGCTCTGGGTACTGTTAATCATGTTATGGAAATACTAATAAAATTATGTTGATTTCTGGATTTTTATCACTTTATACTGAGAAATTTTCACTGCAGTTTACAGTATACTAGTATTGGGTTACTGCCAAAATATAATGGAAGTTATTAGGGGTATAACTTTCATTTTTTTTTTTTTTGCTAAAAAATAATTCTGATTTCATTAATCCTTGTTTCAATATACAGTTTTAACACATTTCATTGTATTTTGTATTCATGCTTAATACACGTCAACCAAGTGATGTGTAAAGGATACACCCAGAGATCTAAGAAGGGCTGAATGTCTTTCCCCGTCACCGTAGAAATCAGCTTCAGACACTGTCAATAAAAAGGAACAAACATGTAAATTCACATAAAAGGTACAATTATTGAGAAACAAAACAGCAAATAATTCTGCAAATCCCCGCCAAATTGTTTATAAAAGATTTAAAGAAAAAAGATACTAGATTTTATTGTGAATTTAAATACGTACCTAACAAACATCTCTTCGGGCACAACAAAATCTTAAGATGTAAAAAGATATTTCCTTTATTAAACTGAAAAGCATTTCAAATATAATAAGCAGATAGATATATCTGAGGCTGAAAAAGTCTGTGACAGGCAATAAATACATAATTTTTCCAGTTTCTGTACGAAATTTGTAATGATTTTTATTTCTGTCTAAAAACGATTATAAACACTGACATTCAGTATTCCCAATGATAATATATAAAATGTAAACAAACTCCTGTTACGTGTGAGTGTAAACACTGTATGTGAGCTGTATCATGATGTCTACTTACCGAGTTTGTAGATACGCACATATTGTTCCAGGTGTTGGCAATAAACTTCTGTTGTGAGGCGGAGTATGCTAATGACAGAATCTTGTTGAAAACCTATGTACAGATCAAAGGCAAACGCTTTTAAGTGGAAATACTTTTTTTACGCTTTAAAGTGAAAATAACTTTTTTAAAATTTTCAAATGATTTTATCAGTGTGGACTTTACTCAACTTAAAGTGTGCAAAAGAGTTTTTAATTTCTAGATAAATGGCAGTTAATCCTCCAAAAGTTACTGTATATCATTTCTCGCTTAAACCTTATTTACCATTCAAAATTACAAAAAAAAATCAGTTTAACTCATTCACCCCTGAATTTCAAAATGAACTATTCAAACATTTGAAGTGGAAGAGTTCAAATGTGTCTTTTCAGGGGTGAATGAGTAAATAAAGTAAACAGAACAAATATGATTTGCTGTGTAACATTTGAGAAACTAACTAAATCATCAGTCACTTTAAGGTCCAACTCAAATAACATTGTAAATTTTTTACTCTAATCCAAGGCAAACTCACCTGTTAAGGTTACTCTAATCCAAACTCACCTGTCAAGACTGCCTATATACTAACTCTAACACTCAGTCTACCTGTAGGAGTCACAAAGACCTTAACCCCAAACCTACCTGTATGAGAAGCTGTGCCCCAATCCTGATTTCAAGCATGCGGATGACAAGGTAGGATTTCTTTGAGAAGACCTCTATGTACTTGGGAGATAAGGTATGGGGGTTTCGTATGGAGAAGTGATGATTGCAGTCTTTTGTGGATGGGTCCAGCAGTATCCCGCCAACGCGATTCTCATACTGCTGTACCTCCCTCAGGTCCTGAATCCACAAACATGTGAGAAAGTTCCACAAGATACAAACAAGACATGCAATGGTATTTTTATCATCATCAAATGAGAACACACTGAACTAAAGTTAATTTCATGTAAAATGTAGTAAAATATAACCTTCACATATTCCCCCCTCGTTCTACTGCCAAACTCACATACCGCCATCAGTTATGTCGTAACAGATTTCCCAACACTTCAATGCACTTGTTATACCGCCAGAATTGGGCAGCTTAAAATCATTAAAAAAATTTAACTATTGTACAAACATTGTTGTACAACAGGATGTATTGAACGCTAGTGAATAGTAAACCAGTTACATACCCTGTTTATGATGTATCTGTACTCGTTATTCCCGAAGGTTTTCTTCACAAAGAGGCTAGTAAGGTAACCAGCTGTACCCGTTGTTATCCACATGTCAGAGCTGTCAACAAAATATCAGTACCTCTCAACATTATCCAGCAATACAGTTAAATTACATTTCATTAACACTTATTTTCCGTAGCAATTACAAGAATACATGCACATGTGAACAATGTTTTGGACTACCTTTGTCAATTCAACTTTTTCATTATTTTCAACAAAAAATATTCATTTAAGCAACATTAAATTTAAATTCCAAATTTGATTTTGTGCTTTGTTACAATTTCTGTGATTGGTTAAAAGTAGCATATGTGAACTCCAAAACAGCTGTTAATATTAGTACAAACAGCTGTTTTTTCCCATTGTCTGTCATTGCATAACACAGATCAAATACACCGCTCATGTGGTGTACTCGGTTTGTAAGTAAATTTTCTCCTGTTCACACCTGCACAAACATTGGGAAAATCCAGATTCAAACCCTACACAAAGCTTTGCTATGGTGGATGATGTTACCTACCAAGACTGCATTGTAATAAAACACCCAAAGAACTGCTGTGCTACAGCGGCAGCCAGGATACGCCGCGTCACCAACGTCTGGTCGATAATCCGTGACGAATGAAGGAGGTTGGTGCTGAAACAGTTTTGTGAACAATGACATAATATCAGGTTTGTACATTTTATAAATATTTAACAACATACATGTTTTGTGTATCTTACTTCTTATTCCTGACCATATAGACATTTCCTATGTATTTTTCTAGTTGAAAAATAACTTGAAACATTAAAGCTATAGTTATATCCTTGGAAATCTTCAATTACTGAATCAAATGAATGAGCATGCGCACTGCTAATATCGCCGTGAAAGAAAACCTTTTTGGGGGCATGAACATATGAACAGTTGCTTATCAAGTGCTTACTTGGTTATGAAAAATATAATGTAAACTGAAAATTGAAAATCTCTGACCATATTTAACCAGATATAACAATCTGCTCAGGATCACTTTAAATAATTCTGTCTTTTAAGAGTTTATAGGTCAGGGTCTTATTTTATTGTTCCATTACCTTGGTAAATAAGCCAAGAATTCAAAACAAAATCCAAACAAAATAACCCTAGATTGCATCAGTCTTACCTAAATATGGTCATAGTTGCATAAGGCATGGAGTCCTCGTAGCTCTCGTCAACAAACACCTGTTTGTAACAGGTGTATGGGTTTCTAGTGGCCAACAGCTCCTCATAAAACTCAAATGCCTGTGTAGAAACACAGATTAATCATGTTCATTACATAAACAAGTTAAACTATTTTTAACACAATTTTTTGTAAATACTTTATTTAGATACTGGAAAAAGGAACCCAATTAAACCAACGCCAGTATATCAGCTCATTTCAAACAAGTCAATAGAAGAAATACAAATAATGAAAAAATCAAAACAGAATCAAAAAAGGTTTTACAGATATTTATTATTATCAATACTTCGAATCACGTAACAAATGATAGGTCTTATTTCTTTCTATCATTCAGTATCAACAGTAAAATGTGTGACGCGTTAGATTATTTTCTACTTGCTCATTAAAAATTTAATCGATTCCAAATGTATAATTTGAAACCAATTCAAAATGTGAAAGACATTATGAATAATGTAACTAAGCACATATGACTCTGATTTTGCAGCAATTACCCATGGCAAATAACCAGTCCCCCTACCTCATGTAAGTAACTGGTGGTATGTTTGAGGAGATTGGTGAGATGAGGCAGGCAGAAGTGGGTCACCTCGTGCATGTTAGGGTCCACCAGTGTTTCAAATGGCCTGTAACACAAAAATATCTATAGGACATGCATTGTTGTATTTTTCACATAGAAATGTCGAAGTGAATGCTTTCTCTGCCTAACTGCAAAATGGCGTCACTATTTTGTGAATGAAATGTTATCCGAAACTGCTGGGTATCGCGGCAAAGTATTAGCATATATGAATAAATATAATGAATGAGATTCCATATAAATAGAAATTAAATTCCATATAAGAGAAATCAGAATCCATATAAGGAAATGGTGGCGCTAGTGTCCAATGTGCAATTCTACATTTAGCAAACTTTGTAGTATACTTGATCCCCAAGACACCTGCATTAACTGATGCATGTGTCAAAAATGTAATGTGTTATCTAATAGTTACCACTGGATGGCAATACCTCTGTATTATAAGCCTACCTAATTACCACCTAGTATTTATATCAACTATAAATGCCATGCTCCAATTCACAACATTATCACTATGACATCATTTTGGTAACACTGGATACCAGTAAACCTTCGCGGAAACATGATAAGTAAATTTAATTTTAAATAAATATTGACTTGTAAGAAATTAATTCTATTTATTACACAGATCAAAATATCACAAAAACACGGTTAATATAAGTACTCAACAGCTTTCATTTGAAGATCACATTGACTATCAATGCCAGCTGATAGCGGTTAAATTCTCACTACCAAGAGGTGATTGTAGAAAGATATCAATCAAAAGTGTTTAAAGTGAGATTTCAGAAATGTTATAAATACAGAATTAATTTTTTTTCTAGCATTAAAAAGTCTACACCATATTACAGTAAAATTTAATGTCAAGGTTTAGACACATCTATTAAAACTGAATATATAGGGTATATGTGTCACTATATATATATATATCTATATGTAACGTGTCTTGTGAAAACGAACAATGTCATACTTTATATCTATTATGTACCTATAGTTCTATAAATAGCTCTAACACATGCTTTTGAGTTAATAGAACAATAAACCCATGTCAAATCATTTGACACCTCTCCATCTTTCCTTTTTTTCTTGTCCCTTTCATTTCTTACAACTCTATTCTTTTCTGTCTTTTCTTCCTCGAAAATAGCATATAACACTTGATACATTGGTTACAACACATAAACATAAACTGTGTTTAAAAATCTGTGAAAATAATTGACACATATTTCTGCATGGTACCACATACATTATATTAATTTTGAGAATGTGAAAAAATTAGCAAATCAAAGAAAACAAATTTGCAAGAATGGAGAATGGGTAATTGAAATATAAAGTGATAAGTGTAATGTATTTTTGAAAAACTTCAAAAAAAACTTAAAAAAGGAAAAAGAAGCACTTATTTTGAGTCATTAATTTAACACTGCTGTTCCCCAGTTCCTCACTCACCCGACTGCCATCGCAATGTTTGGTGCGGCTGTTGGCATAGACAGGAAGTAGTGGAAGGTCTTGTTCTTCCTGTCAGCCGTGTAGACGGTCTCTATGAGCTCTCCACAGCTGACCGCTGTCATACTTAGGTCACAAGTGATCTCAATCTTCCATGTACACGGTTCTGAGAATGTGTCTATACAGGGAAACCACAATCTGTCAACGATACAAAACATTCACATTAGACAATATATAGTAAGAATGCAATCAGTCAAGATTTTTATCATTTGGTATAAAACAGTCTTTAATTGTATCTCCTTGCATTGTAGACACAGTAAGCAATACCATAATTACACAATTTCAAATCATCAACAACTTGAAATTAATTTTAAGGAATAATATGGTTTTACTACATCAGCATTGAAAACATTGAAAACAAAGCATAAAGTAAACATTTATCTACATGTATTTCAGATGTCTGAATCATTTTTATTTTTTTTACACTTGTGACCTTATAAAGATGGCCAAGATCATTAATACGAACAAATCAGATAGCATTTCACCTAAGCATACTACAGGCAAAATATCATGACTGTGGCATCTTGGTTAATCAGAATAAGTTATTTTAATATTTTTATATATTTATATATACCTGTGACCTTGAAAGTGGGTCAAGTTTGTTTTATTTACAAACCTAATATCCCCAGCATTCTACATTCAAGTGTTGTGACCACATGGCTCTGTTTTAACTTTTTATTTTGGGACGTTAATTGTCATGATTATAAATTGTTAAAAGAAAAGGCGGACAACAAACACTCTGCCGCAGCGTAAGCTCACTTGCCCTTCAGGCAGGCAAGACTAAAAATGATGGAAATCCACTTATGAAAACCACTTATGAAAACATGTTTCAATAAAGTAACGATGTTTGTTCCAACCTTGAGGAGTTTTCGTGTCTGTAGGTGTACACGTGCGCAGCTTTCTCTGTCAGCGTGCCCTCGATATCTGGTACCACAAAGTGTACTCCACCCTTTGGCTGTTCAACAGCAAACTCTATACACAGTTTTATCGGTCTCAGATCTGTAAATATACAAACTCTTTCTTGTAAAATTCAAAAGTATTGTCTTACTTGTCTGTGGTTTGACATTCAATGGTAGAGAGGAAATAAGTTTTTCCAGTCCAACTTACCAACTAAAAATAAGAACAATTTTTTGGAGGTTACAGTTTATATCACCAACTGATATCTAAGTTAACATTATTTCACATTATTATAAGACATCAGGGCTAGAAATTAATTTAAAAACCACTAGTCAGTTGGGCTAGTAGTTTCCAATTTTTCATGAGCAAATTCCACTAACTCAATAGTATTTAATGCAACATATGATAAGTAATATCAAATTTTGTCTATTCAATAGGGCTAGTGTTTTTTTAGAACCACTAACCAAGCTGGAGTTGTTACTAGTCTCAGATAATCGGCTACCCTTATTGCCGAGCCCTGGACATACCAGCAATTATCATTGAAACTCCATTACTTCTCAAAATACTGTAATTGTAGGAAAAGACTATTTTTCAAGCAGTTACAAATATGGAAAACCCAAAATAAAATATAGAACATAACAATAGTTTAAACAATTCCTCTGATAAGACAAGATATCAAAATAAAGTTTCACATGCACATGCTGCAGTTCCTACCAGCAATAAAAGGGATGACTTCGAGAGGAAGTTTGATGGTGACTTCCCCATTGCCTTGGTCTGGATCCACAGCTAGCATTGACTTCAGGTGGCAGTTTTGGAAGAAATCCAGATTTCTCCTTTAATTGAAAACACATCTTAAAGCATTACAAAAAAATATACTATAGAAAAATTGCAATGATTTAGAACCTTGAAAGCAAATTTTGTTAAAAAAACTGAAATATAATTATACTCTCTTGTTTTAAAAGAAACTATTTCTAGTTATGTGATATTGCATCACTAGTGACATCTAAACAATGGACATGTAACCACGGATAATAATTTGTGAACCACTTTGAGACGACCTACGAACTAGGGTGTGATAAAGCGGTATATAAGAACCTCAGTTATTATTCTTATATTTATAATTATGTAGCAATAAGCTATATTTTAAAGTACTCACTGTTTTCCATCTTCCTGACAAATTTCCAGAGTCGGATCATTGTACAGGAAGCGGGCCTCCCACTGATCATTGACAGACACATGGAAGATTTCTGGTCAAGGTTAAGGATAATTTCCAACAAAGACATCTTTTGGGATATTGTCACTTCTGCAGGGCTAGAAATTAATTTTCAAAACCACAAGTGAGTTTGGATAGTAGTTTCCTAATCCATTTTACTAAGTAGTCAATGTGCAAATGCCATTTTCAAGTAATTTCAAAAAAAAATTCTTGTCAGTTGGGCTAGTAGTTTTTATAACCAGTAGTCCAGCTGGTGATTTTACTTATCTCGGACTATCGGGCTACCTTTATTTTCTAGCCCTGTGTTACTGTTGATGATTAAAATCCTGCCCAGCAATAGCAGCACCCAATAATAGTCTTCAGGTTTATTTATTATGAGTAATTGACAGACTGGTCATCTACTTCTAAATGTAACATTTTCATTGATAAAGCCTGACAGACTTGCCAATGTCAATATATATAGACCATCAAAGTCTGACAAGAAAGTCTCATCAGATCACTAGGTCCATCCCTATTTCATAAACAAACCAACACAGGTTTGTACAGTGATTACAGTTTAGAAGTTTAGTAGCTACATAATGAACATAGTAAACCTCACAATAAAAATAAATCTACATTCAGTTTAAATGATTGCTTCCATTTAAGGTCTTTAAGTGCTTTTATACCATATTTTCATATTCTGACCCAGATTATTTTTTTTCAGAATTATAACATAACTTTTTGTCTTTTCCAAAACAAATAATCTGCAAGATCTAGAGTCCACTTAAAATCTTTTGGAATTATTCCCCAACAGGAAGTAATATGCAGGGAAAATTCTAGAATTTGATACCATTGAGCCATTTTCAGCAATTTTTAATCAGTATCAAAACTAAGACGGGCAATTCTATGTAAAATTAAAAGAAAATTGGAACATGGAGGGGTCAATTTCAATTTTGAGGGGTCAATGGCCCCATGGCCCCCTCCAGGATTATCTCTGATATGTTACCGTAGTTGTCAATTTGAGGTAATAATTATGTGTTGGTGATAAAAAGGATACTGCACTGCTTGCTGTTAATCTTGATCCGTCTAAGGTCTGCTTGAAGCGGGTGAATTGTGAGTTCCACATAGCCCTGTTAACAAGAAAATACATGTTAAAAAAGATATTGTCTCTGTTCATTTTGCATAATCTTTAATTTATGTAACATAACTGAAAGGTTTCATTAAATCTTGCATTATAAGAAAAACAATTTTTAAACCTGTTTTTGAAAGTTTTTAACTGTTTATCTCTGTTTACATATATATATTCTCTCTCCTTTTAAAGAACATTATCCAGGCTGCCTTTCCATTCGACCAATGGCAAGAGCTGTGCTTCACTTCAACTGGGTTTTACCCTAGAGGCCTTGGGCTGCTAAGGTCGCCAGATTGGTTGAGCTGCTGTTTTATGGAGCCAGTTGCAGAAAACACAACACACACATACACCCATTGTACGCATACAATTTTAACTGTTAATTTATCGAGATTTTAAACACTGCACAAGTCGTTACACTGTGTAACGGTCAGTTTTTAGACTGATGTAGAAGAGAAGATGTTGATGTACATCTACAATATAATAATTACTGAAACTTTATGTATTAAAGGAAATAGTTTTTAATTGAACCACAAAATCAGGGATTCATACTCACAAAAATGGACCTCTGTCTGAAGTTGATGGCCCTGATACATAATGTCTGATGAGCTGCAAGAAACGGTTCATATTTTTTTAAATTGTCTTTGTTGAATTATAAGTATTTCTATGCATTTTACTAACTATCTTAACTGCTCAGTATTACTTTGCATGTTGCTAATTATGGAAAATAAATTTAAATTAAAGCTTGCTTATTTGTCAGCTTTGCCTCCATGGTCAAGATAAACATGATATTCCAATCAAGGTAGGTATAGATTAGTGAGCACCACGGTACCAATGAACATAAAAAAGGTGGAGACATTATGAATTATTATTTATGGGGAACGGACACGGATCAGTGTAGGAACTAAGCAGTATGGATCTGATCACAAAACAATGCATTTGACATAGCTGGTGTAGTGGGGAGGTCGGTAAATACTAAATAAATCATATTCAAATACATAATTTGGTGATCTAACCCTACATATTCAAGTGTTTAAGTCACCTAGTTTATATGGTCGATGAGTGTCAAATTTTCCCTCTTTCTTGGTCTTTTTATGGCTTGTTTCCATTTTATATTATACTGGGAGCACAGTAAACTTCAACAGCGCCGCCATTTTTCAAAGCACCTGCTATTAGCCACGTTTTCGTACTTTTATGTTGTTATTTTAAAAGAAAATTTTACTGTAACATTTTCACATAATTAAATAATAATAAAGTCCTATTTTATAAATATTCTATATTTGAAAAAATGTAATTCTATGAATTTCATTTTATACGAAACGATGTGCTAGCTTTATATGCTGATGTCAATGGTGGACAAAACTGACAACTCACCAGGCTCATCATAATAATTTCAGTGATCTCACATTATTTGACAGAAACACAGGACGTTAGTCGCTGATTATAGAAAGGAAATATGGCCAGTCCAAGAACAAGAAGAGTTTTAAAAGATTTGAGGATCAAAGATGAGAGTAATGTAAGATTGATTGTTCCCAAAAGTGTCAGGCTTAGATGTCATGATCAGCTGATGTCTTCAATATTGTAGTCTTAATAACCGAGTATATTGATTCTGTCTGTAGACATATAAAATTATAAGAAAGCTAGTTTAAGGTCAAAAATGTTTTGTGTGACATGAAAATTGTATTGCCTTCTACCATCTCATTCTTCCTTACTGACATGCATTTTCTGAAACGTTTTATGTTTTGGGTGAATAATGTGATCACATTGTGATGTGATTTTGCCGGGTAATTTCGCCCTTAGTTGTTTCGACCAAAAAAAAATTGAGGGTGAATTTGGCTTGAACAGTCTCATTTTACCACAGTCATATTTAGGCTTCAATATTTTTTTTGTTATCAGCCCCATCGGAGACTTAGTTTGTGAACTCAAATATGGACGACCAGTTCCACATGTAACATGTCCACAGTTCTTCCAATAACGCTTATGAAACATAAAAAAAGTATTTTTTTATCACAAACAGTATTTAACATGATATCTATAACTTTGTCTACATTCGCGTATCCCGGTTGAAACAGTACGTGTGGCGCAAAAATTTTCGACGATAAACGAACACACTTATATATAATAAAAAACAGTGTTTCAAGAATATTATGACCTTCTTTCATCCGTCCACTGAATTACATAACTTACAAAACTACATGTGACTTGACATTGTTTTAGAAAGAAATAACGCAAATTGGCAATAGTCAGCATTTTAGTTTCGGTCAGGCACGTCTGGACCCCTCAATCTACACAAACCAAATTTTCCTGAGGTCAGCCTCGGTCCAAATCTGTACCTGTCGTTATAATCTTTACCGGTTCAACCGTTACGACCGAATACGCGAATGTAGCCTTTGAAACATATATACATGTCAATTAGGGCGAAACAATCCAAGGCAAGATGAATTTAGGGCAAAACATCCCATGCTGAACTTCCAAAAGTGTATAAAGTTGTTCACCTGTAGCAAGAAATCAAGTTATTCAATCAATCCACAAGGGTTCGTTACAAATGTCTGAAATACACATATAACAGGAGAGGAAAAATGTGCGGCCAGACCAGGGTCCGAACCTTGGACTTTCTGAACTCTAGACGTAGTACGCTCTAGCAATTGAGCTATCTGGTCGCCAACGTTCGACCCAGTCCGGTTCCGCTAAATTCCTCCCTCCTTTTTCTAAGTCTTAGCCTTCGAAGACACAATTATTTACAACCCAGGTTCTAACTCCATGTCTCTACAGGGAGAGCCACGGACACCATTTTTAACAGGATAGAGAATAGTATGCTTCCACCGGGGATCGGACCCGCAATCCCTAGGTTCCTAGTCGGACGCTCTACCACTGAGCTTAAAGGAAATTCCCTCTAGCTCTAAGCTAGAAGGCGACCTTAATCTAAAGTACAATTCAAATCTGCTACACATACATGTAATATGCTATACTGATATGGGTAAAAGCACACATAAACATACATGTATTTCGTTACAAATATCTGAAATACACATACTCTATACTGATATGGGTCACAGCACACATATGTGTTAACCAGTATAGCATATGAGTATTTCAGACATTTGTAACGAACCACTGTGATCAATCTGTGTTATTTCTATGAACCCAGGTCGTCTCGCCCTATACTTGTTCAGAAGTGGTAAAGACATTTCCGTAATTTTTTTATGCCATTATATGGGAACCCCACAGATAGGGTATTAATTCTAGCTAGGTAATTGTATAGATAGACTAAAGGAGTGTCAAACAATAGAAGCTTTGAGGCACTTGAATGGCAGGTTCCAACAACAATAAATGTATAACTGATACAAACTCAAGTCAGGGTGCAGCTTAAATCCATCTGAAATTAGATATACTCATCCATGAAATGTTGGTCACAAAAAATGCAATCCGAGACAATTGAAGTCAATGGGGGTATTTTTTATAAGGATACATCACCAGTTTACCAGTTTAAAAATATTGAAATACATGGGTTGATACATGACAAGTATATATGTGTACATGTTGATATTATGGTTAGTGTGAAAACAGCTGTTCTTTATAACACAGGAATATAATGGTCAAGCTAACCATGCTTTGACAACTTGAGCTACCTGTTCAGTAGCTAGCTATATGTATGTCAGGGATTGAAAGGCTTTTAAGGAAAGTTGTTCCCAGTATATATTTATACAATTTCACTATTATTGCAGGGTTTCTATAAATTGTTCTAATTTGTATATATGATATACAAAATTCTGCCAAAAATTTAGGCCTCTCTGATCATGAATATACATGTAAATGCATTTCATGATCTGGACACAGTGTTTTTCTAACTCCTTCGATTTTAATTTATTAAATAGTTTCATGATAATTTCTTATAGTTTAATAGCAACACGTCAAACTATTTAACATGTTTTATGTAGTATAACTACCAGTAATAATGAATAGTTCATCCGTCTTGAAGTTCTGTGAAATTCCTGTCTTTCAAACAACTGCTTTATTTGAAGCATGTGTTCAAGTGTTATGATATTTGTCATGTAGCTTAATTGCTTGTTGGGATGTTGAGAGAACTTAAATTTAAGCTAAACAAAAAACTGAAAAAAATCTGTAAATTGTCTCATTATTGATTGTTATTTGTTTTGATTTTCCAGTCTTGTTTTGAATGTGGAGCCCACAATCCCCAGTGGGTGAGCGTCACCTATGGAATCTGGATTTGTCTCGAATGTTCTGGAAAGCACAGAGGTTTGGGCGTTCATCTTAGGTATGAATTAATATATTTATATTTTTATATATATGTGTTGATATCAATGTAACTTTGATGAAAAAAATCTATATTCACAATATATGTACATATTGGTACTGTACTCGTATGTAACATTTCTGTTTGAATTTGAAAAATTAATCAACATTCAAAGGGCTTAACTCTAAATTCTGACATAACCCTGGGCCATGTATATTGATGTCAATGAATACTATATTTTAAATATGTGTAGAGGTGTACAATATTAACTCTGCTTCCCAACACGCAGGAATGGTAAATTTTATGACAAGGGTTTTCAATAGTGATTTTTTTCCAAGAGGAGACAAAAAACTATTTTGTTTTATTATTTGCCTTGATCAAGGATCTTCCAAATATACATTTCTTTTGGTCTGTGTCTCAATGTTTTGGATACTTGACAAATAGATACACTGTACATTTTTCAGTAATACATGTATATACGTAGATAAAATTCTTTCCACTTCAGCTTTGTACGCTCAGTTTCTATGGATAAATGGAAAGATTTGGAGCTGGAGAAAATGAAAGCCGGAGGAAACAGGAAAGCAAAAGATTTCTTCCGATCCCAATCTGACTATACTGAGGGAATGTCATTACACGACAAGTACAACTCCAAGGCCGCAGCTCTGTACCGCGACAAGGTAACCGCTACACAAAGGAATTATTAACATAGACGCTCCTGATTGATTGATATTCATTATCATGTTTCTTTAACCCTTTCACCACTGTAGACCATCATGGACTCATCCAGATGAATCTATGGTAGAGTCTACTCAAGTTACCTATAGGGGTGAAAGGGTTAACTCAAGCTAGTTAATGTTCAAATTGTGTAAAGAGAGAAGGTTTATTGGGTGTCTTTTTCAATATGAAAATTAATAAATGAGAGTTGGATAAACAAGATAACCGGCCATCATCAACTCGGGGACCTTTTTCTCTCATAATATTAATAATTTATTTGGAAAACCACATGTTCCCTTGGAAACAAATTTTGTGTGGTAAACAATTACCATGAGTCATGACATCACAATAGAAGATAATTTTGCAAAACATTGTTAATGACGTCATAATTAAAAGATTGACTTATGAAATGACATGCTGGGTGTTTCCCACTAGACAGTAACTAAAGATGTTAACCAACTCCCAGCAGATTCATCCAATGAGTCGTAATTGGGGAAACCTTTAGTGGTGGTGGGAAATGAATCCTCTTTAGACTTTTACTGTAGTCATGTCTTGCTTTATATTCTAATGATAACATTCCTCGGTATTTATTTTAAGTAAAGGTTTGGTGTGTGTACCAGTACTTCAATCTCTGTTGATACAGTATGTGTATACGTAATATTGTTAGTTTGCACATTAAAGTGTCAGAGTTTCTGTTGTAATTTTTTTAAGTGATGTATATTGCTTTTGGGTTAAGTTTTAAAAAATATTACCGTCTGCTGTCGAAATAAAAGAAGAAAAAAAATATATACTTGTTTGAAGGTAGATAAATAGGTGTATTTATATAAGGTTATGGGTGGTCGAGTGGCGCAGTGGATAGCACAGTTGCCTTTCACCAAGGAGGGCGGAATCGATTCCCCAATTGGACGTGAAAAGGTATGGGGTCACCTGCCTGACCAAGTCAGATTTCTCCTGGTACTCCAGTTTAGTCCCACATAAAAGACCCCCGTGCCAACAGGAGTAATTAACTCATTCACCCCTGAAGACACATTTAAACATTTCCAATTCAAAGGTTGGAATAGTTCATTATGAAATTTCCTGGGGCGATTGAGTTAATATAAGTTGAAAAAACTTGTTTCATAATTGTTGTAAAAGAAATAAAGTTTATATTAAATATAAGGTTACACATTAAATATAAGATTACACTAAAGAAAATATCTGCTTGTTCAAACAGATCGCTACAGAGGCTGAAGGCAAACCATGGAACATCCAGACATCATCAGCGAGGAATTACGTAGCAGCCATGCCACAAGCTGGACTAAAGTCATCGTCTAGCTCAAGTCGTATGTACACAGACAACTCCTGCTCTGATAACCAGAGTTACCAGAAGGATATGATCAACAGGTATACACATACAGTTTCTATTTCGATTACAAAAATATTAGCTCCACTGATTTAGTCAAAACACAGGAACTTCTTTTGTTAAGGGGTCAATTTGTGATTGACATTACAAGGTAAATATTTGATGCTTGAGTGACTTTCTTTTAGCATGAAACTACATTATTTGATGAAATAATTTCTGTTATTTTCAGGGCAACAACGTTAAGTATGTGTTGTAATTAAAAATGGTGAATTATGAGAAGTTCTTTTTACACAACCGATAAAATTATTTTCTATGTGACGTTTCGATGACTAGTATGATATATGTACACTGTCACCTTCATCAGACAAATGTCCAATGAAGCGTATGCACACAAAGGTGTAAAATGTGTACGAGTTGTCCGTGAAATCGATGTCGCTTTCGGCTACGCTGGAAACTAGGTACAATAGTTGTTATATATGTACCGAAATGACTCAATTCAGCTACGCTTTTATTGGTTGTGTAAAAAGAACTTCTCATAATCCATACTTACCAACCTGAAGAAAATGTTTTAAAAAAAAAATGGTGAATGTATTATTGATGTTTATTTATACATATTCTATTAAAATTTTGATATTCTTGTAAATACTTGTATGGCCACATTCGTTTATCGCGATCCAAACGGGTGAACTGGTTGGACCACAATTGTTCATTTATGAAATAAGGTCGGTCCTAGTAATACGAAGCTGCTTTCAGGTGGAACTTGACAAAGCCTTGCAAGGCCTGCATAAACCAGTATTTATACCCGAAAATGTTACATTAAAAAACAGATGAACCATGGCCAGTTGAACCGGATATGCGAAAGGGGCCTATGTCTATCAAACAAGAATAAAACAGTAATTTACATTGTTTCAAATTCAACTTTTTGAATTCCTTTTCAGTGATGACTTTAAGAAACAGAGGGATGGTTTCTTCGACAGAGTACAGCTAGAGAATGCTGAGCGTCCAGAGTAAGATTTTAAAGCCTTGATTTTTTTTTATATCAACCTGAATAATTGAGGGTTGTACATGTATATGATTGATTCCTGTTTTAGCGTAACATTTTATGTTTTAGTGCCAAACTATCTGATTTGGCTGAATAAATATTATTAGACTTCACAAATTCCAGTTGATCAACTAAATATGTAAATTTTGAAACGAAACATTATATTTATGTTTTCCCTCCAAGTTTTAAGTAATTAATTACTTAAAAAACACTTTTAAATAGCGTTGTTTGAGCAGGGTTTTTCCGGGTGAAATCATCAGATCTTAGAAAATAGGAATAGCTTAGCAAATTCACTGATTGGAAATGCTCAATTTTAAGGTCCAAAACCGGGAGTCTCCCCCCTAAATAGGGAGAGTTGCCAAGTATGCTTTTATAAAGAGTTGTCACATTTCTGTGGGTCAAACAAGACTTGAAAAAGTTAAAAACATTTACAAATGATAGAAACCTTTACAAAGCCTTGCATTAAAGGTGGTGCATATGTACCATGTAAAAAATGACACTCAATATAACGATTGTTTTCATATTTACATAATTGTAAATAACAATTTTGTGATATGGTAGGAGCACAGGTGCTGGACACTTGTGGGGTAGGCTAATCTATGAAAAAATGGTGTAAACAGTACCTGGATCATTTGTACACTGTCAGTTCTAAATATTTTTCTTATTAGAAACTTATGTTCACATAGTTCATATAGTTGTAGACGCCAATGGTATATAGTTGTAGACGCCAATGGTAAGCCTCATAGCTTCTTCGGGCGTTTTGATACAGTTAAAAACTTAGATTGTATTTACACTTCCGGTGCACTTGAAAATCACTGCACATCAAATTTGAATTATGGTCATTGTGCTGTTTAATTTCTTGATGAACTGAATATATATAGGATCTTACATGAGTTTCCATTTCATATGAGATTTATGACACGAGTATAGGAATTTTTAAATTTAGCGAGCCTCTGGCGTGCTAAAATAAAAAAGTTGTGACGAGTTTCATAAATTTCATATGAAATGAAAAAGAGTGTAAGATCCTTTTTATCACATAATCAAGATTTGTGGCATTTATTTGTGTAAAACGACAATTTTCACTCAACCTTGAAATGTAAAAAGCCGCTATTTTGACTCCAGTGCAGGATCGAGTCTGTGACGTCATGTACTTGTCCTAGGCGTGACGTCACAATTGAAACAATTGAAACTTACAACCAATCACAGGGCTGATATAAGTCATATTACATGGGTTTATTTTCAAAAAATATAAAAAAAAAAGGTATATTCACTGGATAACACAGTACATTATGTAATAAATATACATGCTGATTAATTATACAAAACTAGTATATATCACAATAAAAAACCTCAAATATGTACAAACCACTCACGTTGAAGTTTGAGTTCTTCCCCTCCCGTGTATATATAGATCAATTACCACAATGTGATGTAATCTGTGTTGAAGGGGAGATAACTTGTGTGACCATAGATATTTATTCACAATATAGTGAAGTGTATACATTCAGTGTAGAATTTTATGTAGAAGTACTTGTTTTGTGTACGAGTCATATGAGGCTGACTTTATGTTAAATTTTGATTGATTTTCAGTCACCTGCCACCCAGCCAGGGAGGGAAGTATGTGGGATTTGGGAGTTCTGCCGCTCCAACAAGAAAGGATGACGACTTCTTTGAAAATACATTTTCTTCTATTCAGTCTGTAAGTTTTCATAGGGAGATATTCATACACACATAGGGAGATATTCATACACACATAGGGAGATTTTAGCCAGGTGGCATAGGACTAGTAGTTAGCACCTGAAAAGGCAGCTCCTGCAAATTACTTGTATTGATTATATATCTATGTACTGTAAAGTGCTTTAGAAAGGCTTATGTTAGCTATATATATCTCTATAAATATATTTCCATTTGTATTGGCATTTGGTATTTCTATAGGACGTACTTGTTTTTGGAAAACTTTTTTTCTATGTTAGAAAAATAAAATCATTTTGAAGTTTTAGAGGTCATTATAAGATTATTTGCGTAAGAAATATTGTACATGTATATTAGGAAATAATTATGAATTTATCAGTTTAAGAATTTGAGATTCTTAAACCAGTGATAGTTATCATGTTTTACCCCAAGCTACGTAATGTTACAATTAAAAATAAAAAAATATAAGAAGTAGATTTCTAAAGTGTCAATAAAATTAATATGAACTCAAAATTGATAAAATTGTTCAATCAATTCAGCCTCATTGAAAACAAAAATAAGGCGTATCTGGTTGAAACGGTTGAACCGGTTGAACCTGTAAAGAAAACGACAGGCACAGATATGAACCGAGGCTGACCTCAGAAAAATTTGGCACGTGTAGATTGAGGAGTCCAGACGTCCCTGACCGAAAATTAAATGCTGACTATTGCTAGTTTGCGTTATTTCTTTCTAAAACAATGTCAAGCCACATGTAGTTTTTAAGATGCGTTATGTGATTCATTGGACGTGTGAAAGAAGGGCATACTATTCTTGATACATTGGTTTTTATTCGCCGAAACTGTGCACGTTTAGCTCTGCTTATAGAATGGTCCAAGTGTGTTCCTTTTTCGTGGAAGATTTCTGCGCCACACGTACGGTTTCAACGGGGATACGCAAATGTAACCTTTGTGATAGCTTGGTTAAAGTCTCCCGAGGTTATATGTTTATGTTTATTCCATTCTGTACACAGTGATAGAATTCGTATTTTCAAATGATGATTTAGTATTGACTCTGACCCTTTCTTACAGGGGTGGTCAACATTTACAGTCGGAGCATCCAAAATGGCAGCCGTGGCTACAGAAAAGGTAAGGCTCATTCTGATATCAACATTTTGTAAATAAAATTTGATACCAATTTTTTTTGTGACACTGCACATCTTCCCTAGAACTAGCACATTTCTATGTTGTATGGTATATTTGGTTTCAACATTCATTTAGATTTGATTAGAGTTTCTTTTTTTATTTTATCAATCCTTGCCAAATCATTTGGGTTTGAATTTCATTTGGGTAGTTCAAATTTGTATTCAGATGGTAATGATATTCCAAACACTCTTACCATTATTTGTTTTAACTTGTTTGAAAGGTTGGAAGGGTGGCTGTATATGATTGGCATGCAAATATAATTTGCCCATCGGGTAGGGTTGTCACAATATATTGGAAAACAGGTGATATTGCAATACACAGGCATATCGTATCGTACCACAATACAGAGATGAAATATTGCTGTATCGCAATATTTTTCAAAAGCATTTTTTATGTATCTGCTTGGTATTTTAACTTTGCAAATTACCACAGATTCTAACAGATATGCTAATAAGCATAAAGCAGGCTTTTAACAGTGGTGGGAATTAGTTCAAATTTTGTAATTGAAGGTTGGTTTGACAAAAATATTCATTCTATGTTTTCAATATTATATATGATTAAGTTTGATAACATTCTGACAACAACTTATTATAAAAATTGAGCACATACTTCCTATGACAATATTTGGGATACGTATCGCAATATATTCATTCTGTATTGCAATATATTGTGATACACTCTTGGCGTATTGTGACAACCCTATTATTGCGATTGACAACTTTGCCAAGAAACACAGTTTTTGTGAAGATACTTTTTAGGAACGTTACAAGAGAATACATTAAGTTAAATTTTTCAAGTATATGTTGCTATGAAAACTATATATATGTAGCATGCTAGGTTAAGGGTGAAACAATGTATCTCTTTAAAAGCATTAATGCTGCATTTTCCTTTTGTAAACTGTTAGACAAGTGTTGATACTACAGTGCTGAGTATCACGATCCATGGGTCACGATACATGGGGTCATGATACATGGGGTCATGATACATGGGTCACGATACGATACGTGTCGTGAAACTTGTCACAACTGACTGTACAAACCTGTTACCATAGTTTTCCTTCATTTGAAACAAACCTTCAGAATTCATAATTTGTTTCATTATGCCATCTTTTAAACATTCACTGAATATTTTAATTTCTGAAAAAATAACTTTGAAAATGTTATAGTTTCTAATCTAATTAACCAATATGGCAGCCATTGTCATTTGACCTTCACTGGCCCAGAATGACCTTGAATAAATATGAGGCACACCTGGTCAATATGCTTCATGTGGTACTCTGTCACCTGTTGAAAAATGTGACTTTAATTTTGTTTTGGTGCCAACAGACTAATTGTGAACAGTTTAACATCAGTCAGTACTTAATTACTACAATATCTTCTGTGTTTGTAGTAAAACCAGATCTTTAATTTATAAATATTTATACAAATTTCAGCAAGAGTATAACAGATAATGTTACATAACAAATGCCACTTTGGCATGCTCCATTTCATTGACAATAAGAAGAGGTTTTATCTTGCTGATATTCACAGGAATGCATGTAATTTATCTCGACTTCTACAAGAGCAGATCTAATTTTTAGGGTGTACATATTTTACAAACTTTCTGAAAGTTTGCATTAGTACAGGATGTTATTGTGGTAAAATGCATGCTTTACAAATTCAGTTTTTTTTTCCGACAGTTTGATCATGATGAGACTTTTCCTCCAAGAATTTCCCATTGTCTCTAGGATTCAGAGTCATGACATTGGGATTGAAATTTTGATTACAGAAACTTCAGTTTTTAACACATAAAGTCTTGTCTCCAGTCTGTAATCAGTACTTGTGGAGTAATGAGAAATTTTTGGTGAATGAGGGTATTACAATGTAAAATTAGGATTCCTGCCCGATCTCCAGGGTCTAGGGCGGGGGCCCCAAAGGGAACATTTACCAATATTTTCAAATTCTTATCCATTGATGACATGACAAGTATTGTATTTCACTAAGTTTACATGCTGATTTCCACATCACATCTAAACAATAAAATAAAGCTACCAGTACCTATGATATAACTCAGGTGACTGCTAAGGTGCTTTGGCCTCTTGTTTTGTTTTCGTTTTGATGGTGCTTTGGTTAGTGCACTAGCCTTTCACCAAGTCAGTGCAGGTTCAGTTTCACTATATGACATGAAAAGGTATGGGATCACACCCCATCACAGGGGTTTTCTTCAGGTGCTACAGTTTCCTCCCACAATAAGACCTCCTGTATACTTCCACCTAGGCCACCAAGAAGGTTAAATATAAACTTGCTACAAAATAATCAAAGAGTGTTTTTATGACTGACACTGGAGTAATTAAAAAGGTACACAAGAATGATTGGTTGGTTGGTTGGTTGGTTGGTTGTATAGGGTTTAATGTCCGGTCAACAGCTAATGTCATTCAAGGACGTTCACAACAATGAATACGTCTCAAGAATGAATAAACCTGACGTAATTTTGAATCCAACAAGGAATCCAACATTTTAAGGGAGATCACTCTAACAAAAATCACAGATAATAAGATATCATATAGCCTTAACTCATTGAGTTAAAAAAACCAATACCTTTTAATTAAGGCATCACGGTGTTCATGTCTGCCTATAAGTCTATATTAAGCTATCTGTTTAACTTACCAAAGTATTCAAATGATTCAAATTGTCAGAGTTCTAGCAAACCAGAGGTTCTGCAAGTGAAGTTAACTAAAATCAATTTCAACTAAAATGAGTTTTAACTTCAAAACTCATTTTATAGCCGAAACACTGGTTTGATTAATTCAAGCAGAATGTTTAAGCCATAGTATAGGAGAAGGAAAAACATTTCTGACTACAAATGTATCAAGTGTCTTCTAATGTTTTCTTGGGATGGTGTTCGGCGTCGATATCTAATTGTCTTGATGTGGTAAAGCATTACATTACATGGTATTAGTGTCTCAAAGTGTTTACTTGTGTCTTTGTCTCAATTTTCGAACTTTTCTCTCAGGGACGAGATTCTTCATCATTGGGGCATCAGGGATTCTTGGAAAATCGCTGGAATTACGTAAAAGGTTGTGAATACATACATTTTGTTTATTATAGAAGTCGGAGACAGAATACAAATGAATGTTAGGAAAGCTGATTCATGTTGTGACAGTCTGGTTAGGTGGTTGTTTTTGAGATCAAAGAAGGACTTTCAGACCATTTCATTGTTACGAATTCCAGCAACATCTGCTGCAGATATGCTTTGTTATGGTATATTATAAATTACTTCAAATTAAGTATTAATTAAGGTTTCAAATGCTCATGAGTTTGTTAATAACTTCATTTTTGGAAAATCTCTTTTAAAATTGTTTCACACCAAGCTAACGAGTCCTGGAAGCCATGCCGCTAACATGGTGTGACTCATACAGACCCAGACAAGCTGTGGGCATGACTGGCAGGTCATTGGAAGCCAAACCCTGCAGGGGTGTGGTAATCCTTGTAAAGGATTCAAAACTTCCTGAAATATGTTTGTCTAGACCAGTAATTGTATGGTCTTGCTAGAAATTTGGTCTGTATGAATGATGGGTAGGGTTAAAGACCTGTGCTTTGACCATGTTATGTGTTTTATGCAGGATAAAGAGATTTTTTTTTATCAAATTTAAGTCAAAAGGATCTGCTTTATGGCAGGGCATGAATGAATTTAGATAACTATGGTATAGCTGACATCTCTGAAGGGATCGCTGTGCAGTTGAGCAAGAACTTTAGTTGATAAACATGTAGTTGAAATGAACATTTTAAAATTATCAGAGGCCTTATGTATTGTAAATTCATTCTCATGATTCACAATGTATAATGCCATTATTACAATACTGGATCTGTTGATCGAATGTTGGTTACAGTGTAAAAGTAGGTCTGTGTTTTTACTGATTTCTGTTTGAGTGAAGTTAGATCTAGTGGTGCCAACAATGTTACAGAAAGATTGCTAATAGCTACAACAAGAGGATGTCTGGGATAGCAATATATGAAGGTCCACTGTTTCTCAGCTCGGGCTGTTGACCATTGGTCATTCCGATAATCCTGTGTGGAAGGATCGAACCACAATACTAGGTAGGGTATATAAGAGGGAATATGTTGGTGGGGTATAACATAAGAGGTAGTCTCCTTAAGGAGGTTGTCACTGTAGACAGGGTTTATAAGATGGATTCTGTGGAGGTTGCCGTTGTATTAGGGCAGCATCGGTGTATAAGATAGAATCTGCCTGTAGAGGTTGTCACTGTAGACAGGGTGTATAAGATGGATTCTGTGGAGGTTGCTGTTGTATTAGATCAGCATTGGTGTATACGATAGAATCTGTCTATAGAGGTTGTCACTGTAGACAGGGTGTTTAAGATGGTTTCTGTGGCAGATTTCACTGTATACAAAGTGTGTAAGATAGTCTGGAAGTTGTCACTTTAGACAGGGTGTATGAGACAGAATCTGTGTGTTAAGGTTATCACTATAGACAAGATGGAGTTTGTGGAGGTTGTCACTAAAGGCAGCATATAGGTGTATAAAATAGAATCTGTTTATGGAGGTTGTCACTGTAGACAGGGTGTAAAAGATGGAGTCTGGAAGATTTCACTATAGGCAGGGTATAACAGATGGTTTATGTGGAGGTTGTCACAATAGGCAGGCTGGATATATAAAACAAATGACAGAGGAGATGATATATGTTGTATTCTTAAGTCTGATTAGCACTCTTTAGTATATGATGTGCACATCATCTGCTGGCGGATCAGCTCCTAATTAAGTGAATTACCATATTTTTGTGATGATGACTTCAGCTTGATCATGTGGCTGTTTGTATTTGATAACGTCACATCATTTGCAGACTGACATTTAGCTGGACTCACTAGGGAGGCTAGCTGAACATGTTCTCCTGCTGTAGAGGTATTCATAAGCCCTTTCCATTGACATTTAGAAAATTGAGTGATA